GGGAGCCCTAAAAGCCCTAATGAACGGACTGAGTGAATGGAAGGGAGATCTCATGAATTGGTACAGGCTGGAATTTTATGTCCTGTTCTCCACTCTGGAGAGCCTGGATAGGAAGCCCTAACCCCAACCGGGCCTTTAGCCGCAGTCTACCTCAGTCCCGCCCCTCGATCTGGCCCGACCTTAAGCCCCGCCTTTTGATTTTTCAACTAGTCTCACCCCACAGGACTACTCAACCAAACCTCTTCCCACTGACCTGGTGCCGGCTCGTCCAACATCAGCCTGCGCGGATCCTGCCCCAGACCCAACCACGTCTCTACCGGGAGGAAACCAGCAGTTCTCCACGGTAGGTTAGAAGCAGTCACCACCCGCTCGCCCACCCCGCCCCGCCCCCACCTCTCCCTGTCCCTCCGCATCTCGGATCCCCATTTCCCAGCTGCTGAGACCCCGCCTCTTTTGCTGGGCGGGGCACAAAAAACAGAAGCAAAGTGTGCTTTTGCGCGTGCGCAAGCCAGGGCCTGGTCTCCCCGCACGTTCACTAGCGTCTGAGGTCAATTTTCACCTGAGTGCTCAGCCGGCTGGGCTTCGGTCGGGCCTGCCCTCGGTCCTGGTGCGTCCGAGGCGGAGAGCTCGGCCTGGGGAGGCCAGTGATCAACGGGTGGCCGCCGTGGGGACCCCGCGCCCTGGGCCTCCCATCGCCGCGGCGTTTCCTCAGAGCCCCGCTGCGCTCCGCTCGTGCCTGTGGCTCGTCCCAGACCCACTGAATCGGGAACTCTGGGCTGGGTCCAGAAGTCGGAGGGAGAGCAAAGTAGAGTTGGAAAATCACTCTTACATTTAATTCGCCTCCAAAAGCGTCCTTTGTTCTCTTTCCATAAAGGAAAAGCATCCCTGCCATTCGGGTAACGGGGACGAGAGCCTCATCTCGTCGTCTCTACGCTGATCTGTGGATTTCGGCGTGTTTGGTGAGCACTTTTGCCTCAACTACGTCCCCACCTCTTCCCTCCTGGTGCAAGAGATACTATTTAACCTTAATTTTACCCTGCCCGTGGGCATCCGTTTGCTACATTATATTCAGTATATGTACTGCAGAAGCGAGCGCAGCTACATTGTATTCAGGTGCAGGAAAGTGAACTGATTATTAAATATCTTTTTAACCCTCCTCGCCGAATGCCGATTTACATTTTAATCATTTGTCTGTAGACTTTTTTTTTTTTTTTAATTTCACACATAAAGTATGATCACCTGCCAGTTTCACTTTTTCCCCACCTTGTATTTCTTTTTATTTTAGTGCCCTTGGCAGGACCTCGTAGAATAGCATAGAATTTGTATCCTTGCGTTGTTTCTGATCCCAGAAGGAATTGTTCTACCATTAAATAGGATGTTTACTGTAGGTGTTTGTAGATTTTTTTTCTAGTAAAACGTATTAACACCTCTTCTAGTTGTGGTGGGTTAAATTGTTATCACCAATAAACATTAATATAGATCATTCACTAGTTGTATCTAGTGATATAAACTGTGTATGACCTTTTTCTGCTAATGTGATGAATTATATTAATCGATGATTCCATTTTCTTTTTAAAAATTTTTTTCTTTTGATGATTCCATTTTCAATCACATTTTATTCTTAGGATGAAATGAACTTGGTTTGCGATTTATATCTTTATTATTCATTTCTCGACTGTACTAATATTTGCATTAATGTGTATGAGATTTTTTTTTTCTTTTAATGTGTATGAGTTGTACTTTTCTGGTCTTTGAAATACTCAGGACAACAGCTTTTCTGCCCCTACAATAGAATTTTATTTTAGGTGAGCATGCTAGTAAAACAATTTACAACTCCTGTTTCCTTTTGTGGGTATGTTTTAAATTGCTGATTTTTTTCTTTAATGACTAGATATAATCAAGTGCTGTGTTTATTTTAGATCATTGCTGGAAAGTTGTACTTCTCTCTCTCTCTCTTGAAATTCATTCATTTTCTCTACATTTTCATATCTATTTCCTTAATTTATTTCTTATAGTTTCCCCTGTAACATCTGTAATTACGACTCATTCATAACTTCTTCTTCTGTGCTCTGTTGTTTTTAAAGAAAACTGCTACAGGTTGATTGACTTCATTAGTTTTCCAAGGACACATTGCTAGCTTTTCTGATTCTGTTCAGTAGCTTTTTTTTTTTTTTTTTTTTTTTTTTTAAAGTATCATTAATTGTGCCTTGTTTTCACTTTTCTTTCTAACCCTTTATGCTGTTTCTTTTCCCAACCTTTCAAGTCAGTGGTTACCCCATTGGTATTTATTTTTCCTTTGGGAATTGATATTTATAGATTTTACACACACATACCACCACCACCAGCAGCAGCAGCAGCAGCTATGGATTTCCAGTGTTATGTGAAACAGCTATTTTCATTTTCTGCTTCTGTACTGCCACATGAGTAGTCCTGACTCACAGAAGATAAATATGTGTGCATCTCCTTATTCCTGTAATGTGCTGCATTTCAATATAGTATATACCACCGCCTAGTATTTTGTTAATTTACTGTCCTCCCTAAACAAAATTATGAAGTCCATGTGCTTCAGTGTTTTTCTGTTTTGTTCAGTGCTATATCTCCTGTGACTGCATGTAGTAGGATCAGGGGAAATATTATGTAAATAAATATGAAATGAAGGAGCATGAGGTAGGGGCCTTAAGGGAAGGATCCTTGCTCAAGACATAGGTCTTAGTCAAGAGAAGGAGCTCAAAGATAAAACATTTGAGTAGACTACTTCATTCGTCTTCTCTGCATAGTGTGTCCAACAGAATTCTAGGCCAGACCCTGGTAATGTTTGGGAATAAGGGCCTCACTAACAAATAAGTTGTACAGTACATGTTCAGAAATATATTTACTGGTCATTTAGACTTTGAAGATAAGTAGACCTACATACACACCGTGACAGCTTTCTAATTGGGTAACATTGAGTGCATGGTTAATTGACTCTTTCTAAGATTCCTCAGCTATGAATTAGTTGTAATATCTGATTTGCAGGATTTCTGTGAAAAATAATTTCTTTGCAAAGGTGTGGGCATCTCATTGCAGTCATTGTCACATCATGGCTGTTCAAATGGAACATGTTATTACTATAGTAAAGATTATCACAGTTTTTATTGGCTTTAAAATACATGACCTGCTGCAGTGGAAGAAACAGTTGTGTTTTCATTATTTGAAATTAGTGCAACAGCACTGTAGTTATTACTATCAGAGATGACACACATTGATAACTTAAGTATTCTTTTTCTGCTGCTTCTGTACAGGCAAAATTTAGCATGAGGATCACAGAGTGGTAGTCTTTTCTGCTTCCTGTGTGTGGAATTTATTCAGTTGATACTCTTTCTCAAAAACCAGGTTTCAGGGATCCTGCAGCCCATGGGGAAAGGGTCCAGTAATCAGGGGCTGAGCAGTAATGCCTGTTAGTTTGCCAACGGGTGCAGAAGTAAGGAATATTGGGAATGGAACCCCCAGAAATCTGGTATAAAAGCCAGTACTTAGATTTGAGACAGAGTGTATATTCTTAGTATATTCTTAAGGGTGAAGGTATTGCCTGATACTTTTAATGCATTTCATTATCACGAGTGAATTGACAGCTAAGCTTTTAGACTTCAGTTAACTTACTTGCAAAGTGGGACTCCTAACCTTTAAAAAAAAATGATCAACAAGAACCAGAGCATAGCTTTCTAGCTCTGGATGAGGTAAGATTGCTCCACTTTTTTTTATATGATCAGTGTGTGCTTGGGTGTCTTGGGCTTATGCATGTGCAGGTAGTGTGTGTTTGGAGGGGAGTGGTCACTCTAATGGTGCAGCATCCAGGTTTATGAGTGTGCAAATTGTGGGAGACCTAGATGATCATATCTCTTTCTCCTGCCTCAGCTGTAACTTCTCAGTTCTCTGCCTTTCTTCATGAAGGGAACATGGATGAAGAAAGAAGAGCTGCTGAATTACATAAAAGCATGACACAGGTAGGTAAGAGCTAATAATTCTCCAGAAGAACATTCCTATTTCACCAGTTCATTGATCTAATTGTTTGCATCAGGGATCAGCAACCTGTTACTGTGTTGGGCCATATAGTAAGTGTGTTAGGCTTTGAAGGCCAGAGTTTCTTTTAGAACCCAGCTCTGTCATTGCAGTGTGATAGCAGCCATAGATATTATATAAACATGTTTTATTGTGTTCCAGTAAAACTTTACTTACACAAACAGGTGGTAGGCTGGATTTAGCCTGGGCCTAGAGTATAAGAATATATGGCTAGCTGAGGGCCTGGGTTGAAAAGCAGTGCTTTTGCAGGCTTCTGGGCCTCGTGGGTTTATGAAAAGAGGAAAAGCTCCCTTTTTGTCAGTGAGTTTTTACTCATTAAAACCTCATCCAGATTTGACCCAGTGTTTCATGTTGTGCTGGTTTCTATAGTGGGAGAAAGGGAAGTAGGTGAAATTGTTTCTCACTTACCATTCTTTATTGGTTCTGTGACTTTAAGCAAAACAATGGATAATGAAACCAGTTTCACCAAAGACTAATTGATATAAACAAGGGTTAAAGTCTCACAGCATCTCATGAATATTATAACAAAATGAAGTCATTCAGGGACCTGCTGTATTTCATTTTTAGAGCATTTCTCCCATTTTTGCTATATGTTCTACACTGTTCTGGATCATTATAAGACTGGAATTGTTTACCACTAAACCATAGAGAGATAACTTGAATGTTTTAGAAGTGTCATTCAGTCTGGTAGACAGGATTTGATCAGTCAGGAAGAATCTGTGGGGAGAAAGATGAAGATATCTGATGGCTGAGTCCAAGGGTGGATGTTAGGAGACCATAAAATCTTTAGAACTTCCTATGACTGGATTGTCAGTTCCCTCGTATTGTCAGCACCGTCCATCCTCCTGAACACATTTGGGGGGTTGTGCCTTTCTGAACAGAATATGTGGGGTGTTTCAGGACTCAGTGGTCTTTGAGGATGTTGCTGTGGACTTTAGCCAGGAAGAGTGGGCTTTGCTGGATCTGGCTCAGAGGAGCCTCTACAGAGAGGTGATGCTGGAGAACTTCCAGAACCTGGCCTCACTAGGTAAGAATGGCAGCATTCCTTTATTTTGTTGTTTAGAAAAAAAATCTGATGAATCAACCTTATTCCTTATTCTGGTATTTGGGCTGAGGAATTGGAATACATTGGTAAATAAGACAGACATGGTCACTGACCCCAAGGAACATATAGTCTGGCGACTTCACCATGAAAATAAACATTTATGTGTTGGACTGACTTTTTATTGTGGTTGAAAGCCTCAAGGCTTATTAAGTGTTGAAAGTGTGGGCATAGACTTCAGGGGTCTCTTAGGGACACAGGGATATTTATAATTTGGGACCTTTTGAGAATTTTACTGACATTAATGCCCTTTACAAAAGACTACCAAGAACACACTTAAAGTTAAACAAATTGGGTTTATTACTAAATGCAGCGAGGGAGAACACATGACACGAGGAGCTGTGGGGTGTCACAGTACGAAGGTGTTAGGAAGTACATATTACAGGATTTGAACTTTGGTTGAGTGATTTGGGGATGGGTCTATGGAAGCAGGCTGTATTAGTTTCCTACGCCTTTCATAACAAAAATACTACAAATTGGGTGACTAAGATTTATTCTTTCACATTTCTAGAGCTGGAAGTCCAAAATCAAGGTGTCAGCTGGGCCATGCTCTTTCTGAAGGCCCTATGGAAAAAATTCTGCCTGTCTTCCTGGCTTCTGGTGGTGGCCAGCAATCTGCAGTATTAACTTGTGGATGCATTGCTCTAATCTCTGCCACCATCCTCACACAGACTACTCTCTGTCTCTAAGTCTCTCCCTCTCAATAAGGATGCTAGTCATTGGATTTAGGGCCCACTCTAATCCAGTATAACTTTAGTTTAACTTGATCACATCTGAAATGACCTTATTTCCAAATAAGGCAATATTTTGAGGTTCTATGTGGACATGAATAAAAAACAAACCACATTTATTTACTTTTAGAGCACTTTTAGGTTCACAACAAAATTGAACAGAAGGTACGGAGATTTCTCATATACCTCTTTACCCCTAACCATGCACAGCCTTACCTGCTTTCAACATCCCCCACCAGAGTGGTACATTTCTTACAACTGATAAACCTACATTGACACATCATCACCACCTGGAGTCCATACTTTACATGAAACTTCACTCTTGGTGTTGTACCTTTTGTGGTTTGGACAAATATATAATGATATACCCACTGTTATAATATCATACAGAGTAGTTTCACTGTCCTAAAAAACCCTCTTTGCCCTGCTGATTCATTCCTCCTTCCCTTCTAACCTCTGGCAACTATTGCTGTTTTTACTGTGTCCATAGTTTCCTTCCTTCCTTCCTTCCTTCCTTCCTTCCTTCCTTCCTTCCTTCCTTCCTTCCTTCCTCCCTCTCTCCCTCCCTCCCTCCCTCCATTCATTCATTCCTCACCCAAGGATATGTTTTTACTTATTTTAGAGAGATGGGAAGGGAAAGATAGATAGATAGAGAGATAGAGAGATGAGAGATGAAAGAAACGTATGGGTTGCCCACCATATGTGCTCCCACCAGGATTGAACCCACATCCTGGTATGTGACCTGACCGGAATCCAACCAACAACCTTTTGGTGCCTGGGATGATGCTGCAACCAGCTGAGCCATTTGGGCCAGGGCCATAATTTTCTCTTTCCAAGAATGTCATGTAGTTGGAATTAGCATGCATTTAAAGTTCTTTATTGCCTTTTCATGGCCTGATGCCCCGCCCCCCCCCCCTTTTTTTAGCACTGAATATAATATTTCATTGTGTGGATGTACCACAATCTATTTGTCCATTCACCTACAGAAGGACATCTTGACTGCTTCCAAGTTTTACCAGTTATAAATAAAGTTGCTGTAAATGTGTGTGCAAGTTTTATGTGGGCATGTTTTCAACTTATTTGGGTCCATTCCAAAGAGCATGATTATCTGATCATATGGGAATGGTATGTTTAGTTTTATAAAAAAACTCCAGCCTGTCTTCCAAGGTGGCTGTAGCATATTGCATTCCCACCAGCAGTGAATGAGAATTCCTGTTGCTTCATGTCCTCACCAGCATTTGGTGTTGTCAGTGTTACAGATTTTGGCCATTCTAATACGTGTGTAATAGTATCTTATTTTAATTTGCATTTTTCTGATGACATGATGGGAAACATCTCTTCATATGCTTATTTGTCATCCATTTGTATATCTTTTTTGTTAACATGTTTGTTAAGGTCTTTGGCCCCTTATTTAATTGGGTTTTTTATTTTGAGTTTTAAGACTTCTTTGTGTATTTTGGATAACAATTCTTTATCAGATATGTCTTTTACAAATATTTTCTCCCAGTCTGTGAATTGTCTTTTCATTCTCTTGACAGTGTCTTTTGCAGTGCGAAATTTTTAATTTTAATGAAGTCCAGCTTATCAGTTCTTCCTTTTGTAGATCATGCCTTTGGTGTTGTATCTAGGAAATCATTGCCAAACCCTAGGTCATCTAGATTTTTCTCCTATTATTTTAAAAGAGTTTTATAGTTTTGTACTTTAAATTTAGGTCTGTAATCAATTTTTGTGAAGAGTGTAAGATCTGTGTCTAGGTTCATTTTTTTGGAATGTCAATTTCTAGTTTCAGTCTTTGTTAAAAAGATGATTTTTTTCTCCCCTGTATTGCCTTTGCTCCTTTTTCAGAGATCAGTTGACTATTTATATGAGTCTATTTCTGGACTCTGTTCTATTTCATAGATCTATTTGGACATGGATTTTTGAGGGACACTGTTCAACCCAGTTGGATTGAAACCAGTTGGGTAGATAGGATGCTAACAGAAAGTGGAGGAAATTCTGTTATTGGGTGTTTGTTGGGTGGCACAGTGAACCCCCCCCCCCTTTTTTGCCTGTCCTTAGACTAAATTTTGAAGTGGCTTTGTTTCATTTTACCATGGTCTCAGAGTTACCTTGTTTAAGATTGGTTTTCTGTGAGGTTATTTATGTTCAGCAGGAGAATAAAATGTCCTGGCTGTAGGTATCAGACCAACTTCAAATAATATTGGAGATCAGATATGAATGTCAGATCAGTTTGGAACATCAGAGGCTCTGTTACAACTCCTCCCCACCTTGAAAAATTTTTTTGATGCACATTTTGTTACAATTAAGTTCACACTTGCTCCATCTTTCTAGTATCAGAGGACTAAGGTTTTGGCCTTGTCTCATGGAAATGTTTACAGTTCCTCATTGTTTTCCTTCATGTGGTATGCCTTTCTACATTAACAGGGTATCCACTACATTCACCTTGTCCCATCTTCCAGTGGAAACAAGAGGAAGATCTGGAGATAACAAAGAGAGGGCCTATCCAGGGGGAGCACCAGGAAGGCAAGAATTCTTGGGAGAAATTATCTTGGTTGGGGGATATTACATTTGGAAAAAAACCAAAAACAAACAAACAAAAAACCAGAATGAAACTTTTGTCTCAGAGGCAGATTTTCCACAGATACCATTGATTACTCTTTTGACTTTTTATTAGTCCTCTCACACTTTCCTTGTTTTGGGGAAAGACTTTCCATGTTTCCTCTTTGTAAGTAAGTGTTTGGTCATGTACATTTTATCCAGTTCTTTTCTGTGTTCTCCTAATAATATCCTATTCATGTTACCATCAGTCTCAATCTTCATGGAATTATTTCTTAATCAGTTGCTTACCATTTTGACCCTTGTGCTTATTACCAAAGTCTTGAAATAGCTGCATTGCCCAAAGACCTTTGCTCATAGGTACCTTTACTTTTGTTTCAGGTTTTGAGACTCAACTTAAAAGTAATGAATCAGTCACTTTGCAAAATATTTATGGTGAAAAAATATCCAATGAACAGAAGATAGTAAGATACAAAAGGAATGATTCTTGGTCATCCATTTTATACAAAAACTGGAAATACCATTGTGATAAGAATAAGAACCATGAGAGACATTTGAGGTGAGTGCCATTCATATTAAAAAAAAGCACTGCTTTAGAAGAGAATCTTAAAATGCCATGAAATTTAAAAAACACACATATAAAACTTGGCAAAAAATGGCGATTTCATAAAGAATTTTCACAAGATATTTTCCCCCCACAAATGAGATTGAAATCTTCAATGTTTGACATCTGTAAAAAATTATGAGACAAATCCCATTAGTCAAAATCTCAGTGATAAATATTGGCTATTGCAGAGCCCTGTGTGAGAACTTTTAGCTTATAACCTGACAGAGCAAAAAACAAACAAACAAACAAAAAAACCGTAGTGACTGAAAATGATAAAAGTGTATTTATTACTAATACTGTGCTTTTTATTTTTGAAAGAAGTCATGTGTTGGAGAACATCTATGAATTTAATGAAGAAAACCAATGTGGACAAACCTTCAGCCAAATTTCAAATCTTAATATACTCAAGAGAACCACTGAAGTAAAATCTCATGAATGCCATGAATGTAAAAAGGTCTTCATGGATCATTCATCCCTTAAGAATCACATCAGTGCTCACACTGGAAGCAAACCCTATCAATGTAAGGAATGCGGGAAAGCTTTCCATTTTCTTGCTTGTTTCAAGAAGCACATGAAAACTCCCACGGAAGAGAAACCCTATGAATGTAAGGAATGTACCAAAGCCTTCAGATGTTCTTCATTCTTTAGGGCACATATGAAGATTCACACTGGAAAGACAAACTATGAATGTAAGGAATGTGGGAAAACCTTTAGCTGTTCTTCCTCCCTCACGGAACACAGAAGAATTCATAGTGGAGATAAGCCTTATGAATGTAAGGAATGTGGGAAGGCCTTTAGTTGCTCCTCCTCACTCTCCAAACACAAGAGGATTCACAGTGGAGATAAGCCATATGAATGTAAAGAATGTGGGAAGGCTTTTAGTTCTTCCTCTCACCTCATCATACATATAAGAATTCATACTGGAGAGAAGCCTTACGAATGTAAAGAGTGTGGAAAGGCCTTCAGTGAGTCCTCAAAACTCACTGTACATGTCAGAACACATACAGGAGAGAAACCCTACAAATGTAAGGAATGTGGGAAGGCCTACAATTGTCCCTCCTCCTTAAGTATCCATATGAGAAAACACACTGGAGAGAAACCCTATGAATGTCTGGAGTGTGGAAAAGCCTTCTATCTTCTTACTTCCCTTAATACGCACGTGAAAAATCAGAGTAGAGAGAAACCCTATGAATGTAAGGAATGTGGAAAAGCCTTTAGCTGCCCCTCGTCTTTTAGAGCACATGTGAGAGATCACACTGGAAAGACACAATATGAATGTAAGGAATGCGGGAAGGTCTTTAGTCGCTCCTCATCCCTCACTGAACACCTGAGAACTCACAGTGGAGAGAAGCCTTACGAATGTAAGGAATGTGGGAAAACCTTCATTAGTTCCTCCCACCTTACAGTACATGTAAGAACTCACACTGGAGAGAAACCTTATGAATGTAAGAAATGTGGAAAGGCCTTTATTTATCCTTCAGCTCTTAGGATCCACATGAGAACACACACTGGGGAGAAACCCTATGAATGTAAGGAGTGTGGGAAAGCCTTTCGTCATTCTTCATACCTAACTGTACATGCCAGAATGCACACCGGCGAGAAACCGTTTGAGTGTCTGGAATGTGGGAAAGCCTTCAGTTGTCCTTCCTCCTTTCGAAGACATGTGAGAAGCCACACTGGAGAGAAACCATATGAATGTAAGGAATGTGGGAAAGCCTTTGTTTGTCCTGCCTACTTTAGAAGACATGTGAAAACTCACACTAAAGAAAACATATAAATGTAAGCCATATGGGAATGTCTGCAAGGCTTTTCAAACCTCAGGCAACATGTGAGGTCTCACACTGGGGAGACATCCCATGACTGTAATAAAGTAGGAAATTGTTGCTCATCTTTCTGAAAACTTGAGAACTCACAATTGAGAGAACCCCTTTGTATGTAAACTATGTGGTAATGCCTTCATGAATATCACACAAGTCAAAATTCATAAGAAATACGTGTATTAGGAAATTCATAAGAGAAGCAAAGATCAGTACCTCACCCTTAAAGCTGAATGTTGGCTCACTGACTTCTGGTTTTTATTTTCTTAATTTTTAAACGTATTTATTGATTTTAGACAGAGAGAGAGAGAGAGAGGAAGGGAGAGAGAAACATTGACTTGAGAGAGAGAGGGAGAGAGAAAGAAAAAGAGGGAAACATCAATTTGTTGTTCCACTTATTTATGCATCTATAGGTTGATTCTTGTATGTACCCTGATGGGGAATTGAACCTACAATCTTGGCATATCAGGATGATGCTTTAACCAACTGAGCTAACTGGCCAGGGCTCTGGTTTTTATTTTCTGATATGAATATTTAGGGACATAAATTTCCCTCTAATACCTTTTAGTTCTAATATGTTTTATTCTGAGGTGCTTTTTATTTTGGTTCAGATGTAAATGTTATTTTCATTACTATTAAAAAAATACATTCTTATTGATTTTTTTAGAGAGCGAGGGAGAGATAGAAACATTGATGTGAGAGAAACATCAATTGGCTACCTCTTGCATGTCCCCTACTGGGAATTGAGCTTGCAACCCAGGCATGTGTCCTGATGAGGAATCAAACTGGGACCTCTCAGTCCATGGGATGATGCTCAATCCACTGAGCCACAGCAACCGGGCTACAATACTAAGTCTTAAGTGTATTTTTTCACATGCAGGCAGGAGTGGTCCTTTTTAAAAATTAGTTTCTGATTAACTCATTGCTCTCTGTGCAGTGATTATGATATGGATTATTGCATTTATAATTTCTTTTATAATTGGTAATTTTATTTTGATCTAGTATGGCAGATACTGGAAATTGCCTACTCAACATTTTTTCCCCTTTTTTTGCTAAGAGAAACTATAGTTTTTTGAAGTTATCAGTTTTTACTATTCAAAGCTTTTCCTGTCTAACAAGTAATTTCAGCAGAAGTTACTAAGTGCAAAGGTCTTGAGAGAAGTGTATTATCTGATATGTTGTTTTTATATTTTGTTCTTTGTCCTTGCTCATGGCTGGAAATTGGAACCAATGTTTTCAGAATAAAAAGAGACCTTGTGACAAGAAAGCTAGGAGTAAAGTTGGTGGGGCTGGTTCCTGTGTGTTAATTTGGGCATGGCTGGGAATCCACTTCCCAGAATCACTTCCTTATGCAGTTCCAGGTTAGAATTGTCAAAAATAAAGAGTTTGTATGAGAATTGGAAGGCAGAGAATAGAATCCCTTATTTTTAGTTTAGTGGGGCCTGAGACAAGGAGACAGATGCACAGGTGTCTGGTAGGCTCTAGATTCTAGCTCATTTCCCCGATTGACCCTGCCAATCAACACAGATGCAAACAGAACATTAAGGGCTTGAGTTACCTTAGAAGCAGAAGTTCCATTCACATCTCTATAAGTTTTTCCATCATGCCATACATAGCCTCTTAGATTTTTTGACAAGTTTTAGCATTGTCATTTTGCTGATATTATAGTCCTTCTGGCATATCAACTGGTTATATAGTGAAGAAAATTAGGTATAGTTGAGGTAAGCATCAGATAGGGTGGCATTCCATTTTAGAGGCAGAAGATTTATATTTGACACCTTCAAACAGGGAAGTTTTTTTTTAAATCCTCCCCTGAAGATATTTTTTCTCTGGTTTTCAGATAGAGTGGGAGGGAGGGAGAAAGAGAGGAAGAGAGGAAGAGAGAAACATCAATGTGAGAGAGACACACTGATTGGTTGCTTTCTGCATGACACCATCCAGGGCTGGGTATCAAACTACAACTGAGGTATGTGCCCTTGACCAGAATCCAACCTGCGGCTCTTTGGTCCACAGGCTGTCACTCTAACTGCTGAGCCAAACTGCTCTAACTGCTGTTTGGCTAGGGCCAAACAGGGAAGATTAAAATTTTTGTTTTCTTTCTTTTTTAGAGAGAGAAGGGAGAGGGAGAGAGAAAGATAGAAACATTGATGAGAGACAACATTGATTGGCTACCTCCTGCATGCCCTCCAATGGGGATCAGGCCCACAACCTGGGCATGTGCCCTGACTGAGAATTGAACAAGTAACCTCTTGGTGCATGGGTTTACACTCAACCACTGAGCCCCACAGGCTGGGCCAAACAGGAAAGATTTTTAACATGTTTTTTATCTGAGAAGATGAAAGTTATTTGGTTTGTGCTTTAGGTACATTTAGCCACAAATTTTCTTTCCATTTTTCTGTTATCTCTAAAACTACAATCCTGTGCTGCATATGACATTTCAGTCAACATCATATGGCATATGTGATAGTGGTCCCATAAGATTATAATGGAGCTGAAAATTTCTAATTGCCTGTATATTCTATGGTGCTGGCACAATGGCACAATTGCCCAATGATGCATTTCTCAGAGTGTATCCTAGTCAAGTGGTGTAGCACTGTGTACCGATTCCACTTTCCCTTAATCACTTTTTATTGTTTTATTAAGGCATACATACACTAATGTGCATGAAGTGTGCTAATTTTAAGTGTGCAGCTTGATGAAATTTCACATAATGTTTATATCCTGATAAACAGAACATTTCCAACTCTCCGAAAATTCTTTCACCTGCCTTGTCAATAATTGCTCCACAGAGGCAACCACAGTTTTTGTTTTTTTAACTCATCTTTATTGTTGAATGAATTACAGATGTCCCCCCCTTTTTCCCCATTGACCCCCTCCTCCCCAGTTCCCCTCCCTCCTGCCTGCCCCACACTATTGTTGGTGTCTGTTGGTTATACATATATGCATAGAAGTTCTTTGGTTTATCTCATCCCGCCCTCCCTTCCCCCTTCCCTTTGAGGTTCATCAGTCTAACAACCAATTTGTACTTAATTCCTTCATCTTTTTCACCCATCACCCCAACCCCTGCCCATCTGGCAAGCAACAAAAAGTTCTCTGTATCTAGAAGTCTGTTTATGTTCTGCTTGCTCATTTTGTTTGTAGATTCAATTATTTACAGATATGTATTAATTGCCATTTTATTGTTCATATTTTTGTTCTCCTTCAAAAAGACCCTTCAACATTTCATATAATACTGGTTTAGTGGTGATGAAGTCCTTTAGCTTTTTCTTGTCTGGGAAACTCTTTATATGGCCATCGATTCTAAATGATAGCTTTGCAGCATAGGGTAATCTTGGTTGTAGGTCCTTGCTTTTCATCACCTTGGATATTTCTTGCCACTCCTTTCTGGCCTGCAAAGTTTCTCTTGAGAGATCAGCTGACAGTCTTATGGGAGCTCCTTTGTAGGTAAGGAACTGCTTTTCTCTTGCTGCTTTTAAGATTCTCTCTTTGTATTTAACCTTTTGCATTTTGATGATGATGTGTCTTGGTGTGGCCCTCTTTGGGACTCTCTGTGCTTTCTGGACTTGTATGTCTATTTCCTTCACCAAGTTAGGGAAATTTTCTGTCATTATTGTTTCAAATAGGTTTTCAATGTCGTTATTTTTTATTTCAGTTAATGCATCCTTTGTTTCTGACTGGTCCTTTTTTATGTTATTGGTGTTTTCACTAAATTCCTTGGAGATCTCACTAAATTTCTTGAATGTCTCACCAAGTTCCTTGAGCAACTTTATAACATGTGTTTTGAACTCTGCATCTGATTGATTGCTTATTTTCATTTTGTTTAATTATTTTTCTGGAGTTTTGTTCTTTTCTTTCATTTGGGATATGTTTTGTTGTCTCCTCATCTTGGCTGCTTCCCTGTGATTGTTTCTATGTATTAGGTAGAGGTGCTATGTCTCCTAGGCTTTGCAGGGTGGCCTGTTGTTGTAGGTGTCCTGTAAGATCCAGTGGCACCGCCTCCCTGATCACCCCAGCTAGGCCCTCAAGATGCACCCCTAGTGTGGACTGTATACCCTTCTGTTGTGAGTCTTGATTGGTGTTGGTACATAAATGGGAGGGATTTACTCAGGCTACACAGCTGCAAGGAATGGCTGTGCCCACTGACCACTGGTCTCTGATTACCTTGGAGGATCAGCTGTGTAGGGACCCACCACACAGAGCAAGGCTTACTTCATCAGGGCTCTGGCACCCACTCTGCTCACTGAGTGTGTCACTTGTGGAGGTGGTTGGGTGGTGGTGTTTCGATGTGGTCTGAAGCTGTCCACCAGACGTGCTGGCTCTGGGGCAAGGTCATCCACTGCCTGGTGTTCTACCAAGGGACACTAGGCATAAGCTACAAAGTGATCTGTAGATGGCTGCTTCTTGTGCTGGGCTTGGAGGTGCCCAGGAAAATCCAAGTTGTGAACTAAGGCTGGTTGCTTCTAGTGCCAGGCCTGGGGCCACTTAGTGGGAGGTAGAGGGCTTGCTGAGACCAGATGCTGCTTGTTTGGGAGATTTTAGGAAACTCGAGTAGGATCCAAGACAGGTCATTTCTATGGTAAAGCCTTTGGAAATGGCTTGGGTGGGCTGAAAAGTTGGGTGTGGTGGGTTCTCAGGATATCACCATGGTGGAGCAAACAGTGTGAGCCAGGTTTCTGGAGTCCCAGATATGATGGCCATTTGCTGCCCCCCGGGAAGGGTTCACCAAAGAAACATCAACCTCCACCAGCACGTCTGTCCAGGAGCAAACCGCTTCTCTAGCCCTCGTCCTGAGGCCAAATAGCTAAGTTCTTTCCTGAATGTCTCTGGCGCCCCTCAAGTTGCCTCCCCTCCAAGTGGAGAGGAAGCAAGTCCAAGTACATCCATGCACAGGCTCTTTAGGAGGAGCTGCTTGGGGATCCAGCAGCCGCTGCCTCTCTCTGCCTCAGTTCCTGCTGGCTTTTCCAGCCAGAAGTTATGGGGACTTCTTTTTCTGGCACTGGAACCTGGGGAATGGGCATCCGGTGTGGGGTGGGGACCCCTCACTCCTCAGGGAGGACCTTCCCAGCTGAGGTATCCTCCT